TAGATTTTAATATCTCACAAAAATGACATATCCTAAACATAAAATATACGAATTCCGATGCCGACTCTTGTCAAATAAAGGTTATAAAACGCTTCTAGCGTTTTTAATTAACTTCAAAACATGTTTCTTAATTAACAAATCTATACATTCCATATAAGGGATAGAATGTTAATCTTGAAGCACTGGCACTTCAAAATTGACATTTCGGTAACAAAATAAAAAATAAAAACGATCAAACGCTCCGGCAAGGTCAAGTTGTCACTCTGTAGCGCGAAACTGGAGCAATGAACAGGTTTTTAGCGCCATGTCATTGTATGAAAAATTGACGTCGTTTTTGAAGATATCAAATTTAAAAAAACTGATTCCACGTAGCTTGGCGCTGGTACTCAGACTCCTTTTCAAGTAGAGAAACTATTCGTCAGAAGTCATTATACTAGGAACAGCAGTCATGCCCAACTAGTGTTGCAAATCTAGTCGCTTAGTGGAGAAGGGTTTTAAATATATGTTTTACTTAAAAATGTATATTCCTAGTTGCATAGAGTATCCGCCTATTAAGTAACTATTTTATATGAAACTTTTAGCCTTATCAACCTAAACTTTAAACCTAAAAGTCGAATTCTAGGGTCATTTTATTTATGCTAATATGAAACAGCGACTTACGGCCGAATACTGAAACTTATTCAAATACTAGCTGTTGCCCGCGACTTCGTCCGCGTGGTATTAGAAAACATACGAACTATATAAATAACAAAAAGCTACGTATCCCTCGGGAACCGGACATTTTCCGGAGATGAACCTTATCCCATGTGTACTCCAGACTTTGTTTTATATCTGTGCCAAGTTTCAATAAGATAAGTTGAACCGTTGCAGAATGATCGAGTAAAGATTAAATAACTAAATTGATGAATCCCACGGGAACCGTAACTATTCCCGGGACAAAAAAGTAGACTATGTGTTCTTCTGGACTGTGCTCTAAACCTGTGCCAAATTTCATGGAGATCCGTTCAGCCGTTTAGGCTACAAACGCTAACATCCATCCATCCATAGTAACTTTCGCATTTATAATATTTATATACGTATGATGTCGTCTTATGACTACGCTTAAACTCCAGATTCCTTTCAAATTTTGATGTCTATTAGATTGGTAGTATTTAAGTTTCGTTTCAGTATATGGCCGTTAGGACCATAGGTCAGTGAGTGGGTTTCGGTCTTACCAAACAGCACATGTAGGCGAGTCACGTTATTGCAAGGACAATCTGATAACAGGGCGCCTCCATTTGTCATTACTGTTGGTATGCAGAATGCGATGCCACCGATAGTATGGAAATTATCAAACAATAGTTGTGCACTATTTCTTCATACAAACTAGTATATGAATGTTGCAAGTTCAATCGCATCAAGTTTTACTTAGATAGTTATGTTATTCAGTGTTGTGGAATTTTACCTTCAAATTATTTACAAGTTAGGGTTCTTCAAAAAGCGAAGCGTATTTTCTAAAAGATCTACAACGCATCTGTTATTCCTCTGGTATTGTGGATGTCTATGGGCGTTGTTTATTGCACGTCGGTGTTCCCGTCATTATTTGCCCCCTTCTCTTATATAAATATTGAATAGTCTATACTCGGCGGTATTTCCAAACCATCACGTCATAGGGCAGTTCCTCCGGTGCAGATGTCCATGGGCGTCATTGATCACCATTGTGTTCCTACGCTTGTTTGCCTCTTATGTTATAAATAGAAAACCGCTACTACTAAAAAACTAAAAAAAACGGCAAAAAACCTACGGATACCATAAACGTACGATTTCAGCGGAAAAAACTGTTTAAGAAAATTATTTTCATTTTTAGTCCTAGCTTGTAAACATCTTTAAAAATCATTTTAATGATATGTTATGGTCTTTTTTAACAGATTGTAAACGAAATTGTGAACATAGGTTAACTGTAAATGTTATACAATTTAGTTTTAATTATCTAGTCTTGCAAATTCAGTCCTATATTTCTCCACATGTAAAGCAATAAATCTACTGGCATTGCAACACTATCACTTTCTATATTAAATGCATGACTAAACTGAGCCCTGAGACCTACATGTCCCATGAGTTATTTATTATAAGTGCTCGATATAATGACAATTAGTATCAGGTGTGCCGGCCACCAACTTGCATATATTGAAATTGTAATCGTGTAAACAAACACAATTACAATTAGTATATGTATTTACTAAACGACTAATTAAATGTATGGACGCAGGAAGATGTTTAGAAGAAAATGAAGTGATTTTTGTAAACTATATTACGATTAGCTTTCGTGTAAAAGTGTTGATTTAGATAGTACCAGTAGCAGCGAGTGCGAAGTGAGGCGAACGCCCAAGGCTCCGGACGTAAAACGGCGCCATAAAGGGTGACTTTTTTCTGGTTGTATTGTAGAAATATCGCCAAAATTGCAGGCAATGCTAAAACTATCCCTGGATAGCACTAACGGTCTAGACTACAATTTTTAATCGTAAATTATTATTACATTTTATACACCTTAGCAATTAATTTCAATGATGGAGTTACTCATTGCTAAATCTTTCTAAAAATAAAACAGAAAGATAAAAGCTACATATTTTAACATAATTTAAATAACCAAGAATCTCAATGTATTTACTAGTCTAGTCTACTAGACCTAAATTAGACTATCTATAATCTAAACTATAATATTCACAATTTCTCAACATTTACACACACGGCTTAATAAAGCGGGGCACCGTGTGCTTGCGAAATACAAACTAGATACAGTTTGGAAAGACTTTAGTGTTTGTATATGTCCTATACGTTTTTATTATATTGCAGCTTTGCTTTGACAACTATTAAATAACAAATGCCAATACAAAATATCGCATTTAGGTCCTGCCCTACCAAATTGTAAATTGTCTGATAATCAAACGTGTAAAATATGTGATTGAAATATCGAATTTCGTTACCTTATCTGACAGTAACGTCATTTTTGAGCTATTTGAGCCGCTCTCAGCCAGCGGTGAGACAGGCCCTTAATCTTTTATTAGGGAACAAAAATTTTTGTAAATCGTAGTAGACGCAAATCTAACGGCCGGTGAAATTTTGCTATCGTAATTTATAATTACAATTGCTAAAAGTTTAAATAGATGGTTATTACTACCTACCTCTTAAACGGCTTGTCTCGATATAAGACACAGAGAATACAGTCTGGAAGAAAGGCTACTTACCTTCTTTTTAATACTGCGCAGACGAAATCGTAGGACGAAATTATTAAAACCGTTAAAATAAAGTAAAGAACTAATAATTTTAAAAACTTCAAGTCATCATCATCACCAGCTCACTATACGTCCCCACCGAGGGGCACGGAGCCTATCCTAATAAGGGGTGACTAGGCCATAGTCAACCACGGTGGCCAAGTGTGGGTTGTTTGACTTCAAGTGAAATGGCTTATTTAACTAAAGTTTATGATAATACTAAAAACAGGGTCGTCCCCTAAAAAAGTTGCTGTGGATTTTCGTTGTTAACCATCCATATTAATACAAATTTATTTTTGCACAGTGGAAGCGGACATTTTGCTAAGTCGTACTGACTAGATCACATATTTTATCTCACATGAGATAGCAATTTTAAAAGTATAACACGTGTTACATATATCGGCGGACAATTTGACCCTAACCTAAGGTCACAAATGTCGACCTCGTCTCCCAATAGACTCACGATCACTCCGATAATCTGACGCATTGATCCACATTTTAAAACATTGAGTAATCATTTTTTTGACGTTTCAATACGAACAGTACTTTGATAGTAAATATGTGAAGTGTGAACTTCATTTCAAGGAAATGGCGCGAAAAACGAATTTATAGAGTAAATATAGAGAAATGTGTACAGCGGTTTTTAAATCTAAAGATTTTTTTTAATGTTTTGTTGTACTAACAGTTGCTCGCGACTTCGTTCACATAGAATCTAATAAAAATAGTAAAATTTAATAATTATAGCAAACGATACTGATAACGTAGCTTTTTAATGGTACAAGAAATTTTGAATTCGGCCTAACAATTTTCGAGTTATTTCAATACATACAGAAATACAAATCTGTCTCCTTTATAATATTAGTATAGAATTTTTTTTTATTTCTTTTTAATTATGAGATAGATTATGCATTATGCAATAAGCGACCATTAATTGAAAAGTGTGTGTTTGAAAGTGTGTGATAAAATTTGGCACAGATTAAATTAGTTGAAAAATAAAACTACAAATATCAGTTAAATATTTTATTTATTAAATAAATAACTTTTTCGAGCTATAAATGCTTTATCATCACTACAATTAGTCTAAACATTAAGTTTTTTAATCTAATTATTTCATAACAACATAAAATAATCAAAGGTATACGGATATAATTCCTTATCAATAACTAAAAGTATTGCACTGGAGACAAATGTAAATCTATGGTGTTAAAAAAAACACGCTTGGACTTTGACTAAAAAAATCTGAATTATAAAATGGCAACTTTGATATGTAAAATTAAAACGAAAAAACTGATGCCCAGTATTTCCAAATTATTAAAAACGCAATACTTTCAAAACCACAATTTTATACCAAACTAGCTTTTCTCATGCGACTTCATCCGCATGAAATTATAAAAACTTTGTTTTATTGTTTATATTTGTCAAATTGTCAATTGCAAATGTCAAAATTACCGTTGCCGTAATAACCTTGCTTCCTTGATGTTGTATTTATGGTCCTTTTCCCACTTGGAGTTTTGTTGAAATTTATTTACCCCTAAGTCAAATAGCGTGAAAATATATAGCCTAAAACGTGTAGTAAGTGCAGGGCTTTTTATTAATGAAAGAATTATTCAAAAATATGCTGTGATTGCTGACATCCTACGCCACGAAGTAGTTTGTATAGAGAGATAGATATATATTAGTATAGATAGGACATTCCAGAAGTACTGAAAGTGTTAAAATAGACCAGGTTCACATATCAATAAAAAAAACTCAAAATTATTAGTTTTAATTCAACCATCTGGATTCTGAAGTTGCTTCAATTGTTTGAGTACAGTGTCGAGAAGCTTACGTCTGTCTCTTTCGTTCTTCTTTAGAACGGAGAAGACAGACGACTTCTGTTCCGCTTCTTTTAGTTTCTCGAGTAATGTGGCTGCGTCTCGTGGCGTAACTAGCGCGTATTTACCCCCTTCTATGCCTACGTCGTGAAGATATGATGACCAATCCCAGCCGGTTATTAAATCCAAAAGTTGCCTGTAGTAAATGTTCATTTATTAACTAGTACAGTGTTAAAACGAACCGAAGACAATCTTACTAAATACGAAAGTTTGGATGGATGGATGTTTATTAAAGTTTATAGCCATCTGAACGGATCTCGATGACATTTGGCATAAATGTAGAACAGTCTGGAAGACTACTTATTTTGTGTTTTTTTATATATTTCAATCGGACGGAGTCGCAGGCCACAGCTACTGTAGCTATAAAGTGTATATGTTCTATAAATCATCTTAAACTGACCAATAACATTTTTTAATCATGGCCAATATAAATTGACCTACAAGTTCTAGTAATCTCACATGTAACAGAGAGTTCATCTTAAATTGGACATCACTTCTTGTTTAATCTATCCAATATAATAATAATAATAATAATATAATATAAATTGACCTGTTAAGATATCTAACATCTATACTAGACAGGGCTCACCTTAAGCTGGCGAAGTGTTCGAGCAGTTCACCCTCCTTGAGCCCTGGCACAGGCTCGCCGGCCGCGAACTGCTCGCACTGTATGACGTCGAGGTCGAGCTGGTAGAGTGCGCCGGAGGAGACCTGCTTCACCGCGGGGTCCATCAGCAGGTTCCGCAGCCGTGTTGCTATGCGGTTTGTCGCCGCACGGACTGCTGCCACTCTATGAAACAATGTTGAGTGATTGAAATTAGAGTTGTTGGTGTTAAATTGAGTGGTAGACTATTGAGTTGTTAGTGTTATGAGTGGGAAAGTGTTGAGTTGTTGATGTTAATGTTAAATTGTGTAGTAGAGTTAATGAGTTTTTGGTGTTAAAATTAAGTGGTAGAGTGTTGATATGTTGGTGCTAAATTGAGTGGTTGTTGAGTTGATGGTAAGGTTTTGAGTTATTGGTGTTAATTGAGCGATGGAGTTTTTGAGTCTAATTGTGCTAAGAATTATGATCGAATTAATAAAGATTTACCTGGCGCGTTCCGGTAGCTGTTCCAGCGATGTGAGTACACCAGACAGATAGCTCAACATATCAGTAACGAATGCTGACGCTTGTCCGGTTGGTTCCACTGTTATCAAATAAAAAATAACCTGTAAAATATACAATACCAAGCCATTTGTAGATTTAAAGTGGTTTTTATACCCAACAACCAGTCGTAGTTCTCAAGGTCGAGGAACTCATCGACCTTTTTCTCCAAGTTGTTGCAGATCTGCTGTTCAGCGTCATCGCGCGCAGCCTGGAACATGCTGCCCGCAGCCTATAACGATTTATTATACAAATATATATGACGGACATAAAAACTCGTTTTCTACTGGATGACTTTTTTAATATTTTATTGTTTGACTTCAAAAAGGAGGATAACTTTTTTTTATGTATGTACATTTACGTTGCAATTTATGATCCGATTTAAGTTTGATTTTTTTGTTTGATGTAAGATGGCTGACATTTGGTTTAGCATTTTTTTCAAAACAAATCTATTGAGTAGATTTTGAGTATTTCTTAAAAAAAGCGTAGCAAAAGACTAAATTTTTGTCTTGAATACAGAAAAAAATTCCTACACAAATTTATCGAAGCTATTATGAACGAGATTTTAGTAGGCATTATTATAATTTATCAATAGTATTTTCAACTTACCTGTGTGGTGACAAGCTCGGAGCCCGTTATGTTACTTATGAACTCGTATAGAAATAACGTAGCGTCCTCCAGATACTGCGTGTCTACTATTATCTATCAACAAAAGGTAAATAAAATAGTAAATTATCTTCGACACTAATATTTAATACGAAACGCAGAAAACGACCGAATACTGGAATGAATGATAAACAATTATCTTAACAAGTGCCGCTTTCAATCTTTCAAACGTTTTAACGACGGCAAATTTTCATTTCAGATGTTACATATTTAAATGTCGTTTCAGTATTTGGCCGACAGTAACTTGTTACATATGATACAATCCAAGGTTTTCTAATATATAATCTATACTTATATTATTTGGATTTGTATTTTTGTATGTATTGAAATAACTCCAAAACTACTGGACCGATTTTAAAAATTCTTTCACCGTTAGATAGGTAATTAAGTAAAAAAATAGTGCTATGACGTCATCGCTTTACCATGTTATTAAGGGGGCTCGATTCTTAGGATTGTAAGTAGACCACAAAGTGACCTACCTGTACCAGCTGCATCAGTGGCAATGGTCTTCTGAAGAGTGCAGAGAGGCATCCTGTGAAGGACCTGCTGAGGAGCAGCGAGGCGGAGTGGCGGGCCTGCGCCGCGCGCCGCGCCCCGCACAGCCCCACTCCCGCGGAGTACTTCAGCCACGCGTAGATGAACTCCTTCACCTGCACGTATACTGCTGGAACTACTGACGAGAACGGAAACCTACGACAAAAGCAGATGTTGCCTAAAGAGATGAAAACTCTACCCTTTAATCGACTACATAGAATCGTAGAGGCTAAGATAGCATAAAAATCGGTCCACTTAGGGCGGAATTATCCAGTAACACACATAAAAAAACATACAGACGAATTGAGTACCTCCTTCTTTTAGGAAGTCAGACAAAATGACGTCACTGTCAGATAAGGTAACAAAATCCGATATTTCCATCACATATTTTATACGTTGGATTGTTATCAGACTATTTACAAGAATTAAGTAAGTCTAACTCTAAGGGCCTGTCCCACCACAGGCTGATAGAGGATCAGATAACTTAAAAAAGACGTCACTGTCAGATAAGGAAACAATGTCGGTTCTCATGGGATAGGTTTTGTTTTTTTCATGTTTACAGGATAATCCTTCGAAAATAACATGTTATTGTTTGGCATAGACATAAAACAAAATCTGGGGTCACACTTAGTATACGGTTTCCGAAAAATGTCGGGTTCCCAAGGGACATAAGTAAGCAAAGAAATAATTTTCATAATTTTTCCCAGATTTTAACATAAATACTAATATATGTAAATAAATCCTTCCAGCGCTACCAACATACCTAACGATTGTATTCTTATAAAAAACAGTGAAAAAGCTGAAAAAAAACTTACTTCCTCGGAAACGGCTGTGTTTCCAATTCATCTCCGTCATAGGGAAATGTATCCATAACACCATCGTATTGTTCTTGATCCGCTACCTATATACAAATAATATATTTTAATAGTACTAAAAATTAATAAAATAACGCTATAATAGTTTTTCGTTATTAAACCAGTTGTCGGAAAAGTGCGACAATAGAGCAGCATGGCTCTTTGGCCTAAGAAGCAAAAATATTGTATGCATAAAAAATTTAAAATATGACATTTATTTTTATTTATACTGCGCATATTTACTAAACAAGCAGATTTGGCTCCTACCTTTTTTTTTTTTAATGTGCAAATTTGGCTCTTTGGCTAATAAGCAGACTACTGAATTAAAATAGAAACCATATTAAATTAAAACTATCAGAACACAGTGATATTACAACGTCGATAAACCGTACTCTTAGTGCAGTGGTCGTCGAAATGCGGTTACGGAGCAGCATTTGGCTCTTTGGCTCCTAAGATGCGGCTCTGACTTACTCATACTTTCAAAGAGATGCAAACGCATTGCTTACATTAAGAAATATTTAATAATTATTAAATTTTGTTTAGTGTACTAATATAATGTAATAAAAGTTAGTAAGAAAGTAGATTTGGCTCCTATTTTTTATTAATAGTTGTAATGTTGACATTTGGCTCTTCTATACTAATATTATAAAGGGAAAAAAATGTATTTTTGTATGTATTGAAATAATTCAAAAACTGATGGGCCTATTTTAAAATTTCTTTCATGATTAGAAAGGTAATTTATCTGTGAGTAACATAGGTTATATCTTTTATTATTTTTTAGTTTTACGGGGACGAAGTCGCGAGTAACGGCTAGTTGGCTAATAAGTTTGCCGACCACTGCCAAGTGTATTATGAGTTGTCACCTCTATTGGTAGGAATGCGGCGTTATCGAGGATGTCCCTGAAGACGGCCACCCAGCGCTGCATCAGCACCTCCGTGTAGTGCTCCGCCATCTCCTGCAGCACGGCCGGCAGCGGCTCCGGGGGCAGCCCGTAGCACCTGGACACACACCATGGCTTTTTAACTAAGCTTCAACCACTATATCTTATATCATACTAATATTATAAATGCGAAAGTTTAGATGGATGGATGGATATTTGTTGGAGTTTGTAGCCTAAACGGCTGGACGGATTTCGATGAAACTTGGTACTTAGGGGATAGTCTGGAAGAACACAGAGGACACTTGCTTTTTTTTATTTTGACGTGAACAGAGTCGCCGACGATAGCTATTATACTATTAACATATTTTCTTTTCATTCTAATGAATGAATGAATGAGTGAGAGACTGAGTAAGTAAACATAATAAATAAATATACAAACCAAACCGTGTTGTATCTGTTTTTGTTAATATAAGTGTTTTTGAACATTTTTTCCACAACGAAAACACGTTTAGACTTCAACAAACATCATTAAAAAATGCCAAGATTACTACATTTTTTACTTGTTTTGCCCGCGACTTCTTCCGCATGGTATAAAAAAACACAAAAGTAAGTAGCCTATGTGTTCTTCCAGACTACATGTATGCCAATTTGATCGAGATCCGTTCAGCATTTTATGCTATAAACTCTAAAAAACATCCATCTCATTTGCATTTAAAATATTAGTAAAATTTGACAGAATACTTACTTGAGAGTATTAATAAACAGCATTATTTGATGTTTGATGCTCAACATAAGCGTAGGGTCAGTAATAAGTGAGGTATTGGTCCTCAAAGTTGATGCCACTTTATTAACGGACATGCTCCATGTATCCAGCAGCCAGTCTTTGGAGACCAGACCAGCTCCGGTAGTGAGTAAATGTTCTTCCAGAATGAAGAAGCCTAGAACAGCACTCAGGTAACTCTTCATTCCTTGGATAGAGTCGTGTAAGTTTCCTGTAGCCGGGATCAGAACTAACCGAGCTTGCTGTTTCCGCTGTGCCCTGGAATATAAGAATAAATTATCCAATGTTATTTATTCTCAAATCTATTTATATGTAATCTTTCTTAAAAACCTAGTTGTTCCCGTGCGACTTCATCCGCATGAAATTATGAAAATTTTATTTATGTTTACATGTGTCAAATTATCAATTACAAATGTCAAAATGACATGATATGATGACAACTTTGCTTCCTTGATGTTGGCAGCAACCCATGGTCTCTTTCCCACATTAGGATTTTTATCGAAAATTTTTATATATCCTTAAGCGTGACACAAGTGTAGGGCTTTTTATTAAAAAAAGAATTATTCAAAAATATGCTGTCAAAAAAGTGTGTTTACGCTTTATTATAATAGTATAGATATATATTTCTAACCTGTAATATTGTATGAAATCATTCTTAGCTCCAAGAACACTGTGTATATGAAGACATCTATGTAGAGGACTGAAATCTACCAGCTCATGAGGACATTGTGGACCAATATTATCTTTACCTAAGCCTCCCATCATTTCTAGGGAAAAAAATTTAAAACACCATCAAAATAGTGCTGACATACTATAATTTCAAGGAATGTAATCTTTCTGAGACTAAATAAATTATTACCTTTTTTATTTTTGACAATATTCTCCAAACTCCTTCCGAGCATATCTTGAGTTTGTTTCAATGCCATCGCACCAACCTGAAACATTATTGCATTATAATCATTTAAAATACATTATATTTACTTCAAAAGGACATAGAAATAAATATATGCTACCTTACTATAATATTAGTCAAGTACTCTTTAAGACCATACATAAATAGCTTTATAAAATACTGGTATTTTCGCGTGAAATAAGCGCTGAATAAAAATATAACTTAATAACGGCGGAATACTAGAACGAATCATAAACATTTCACTTCGTAAGCAACGCATACAATCTGACAAACGTCAAAATTACAATGGAATTTGGAATTTAAGTGTAAAATTATTTAAAACACTATTAAATAATTAAATGTTGTTCCAGTATTTATCCGTAAGTGGCATATATGTGTCTTGTATGGATGGATGTTTGTGGGAGTTTGTATCGAAAACTGCTTAACGGACCTCAATGAAAGTTAGCATACATTAAGCGGATAGTCTGAAAGAACATATACGCTACTTGGTTTTTTTAATTCCATGTGCGCGAAGTCGCTGGCGAAAACTAGTATATTCATATGTAGTAAATTACCTGTGGACTAAGTTTCCGTATATTCTCTAAGAAATCTCTCAAATCCGCCATCGAAGCATCCTGTATAGCCTGTCTGAGACGAGGTATATCTGCAGATATCTGGGAACACCATTTGTACGGCCCTACTCGGGGAAGCAATACATGCTCTAATTGCTCTAATGTTTTTAGAGCTGGATAGTATCTGAAAAACAATGAACATTCAAACTACTTGTTTACTAAATAAATACCACATTCAAATTTTATTTGACTTTGTAACTTAAGTTTCATTTTTTTATAATTACAGTTAACAAATGAATTTGGCCTGAATAGAGAAGCGACTATGCAAAGACATTCAGAGAGAAGCCAAACATTTATTAAGAGAAGATTTGACGCACAGAAAAAGGACATCTCCCCCAACAGCCTTACTAATAAATGCAGTATAAAATTAAACTTAGGAATAAACTAAGTATAAGCCAAATTTGTACTAATATTTGCTTATACAAAGTTTATTCCTAAGTTTAACTTTATATTGCGTTTATTTGTAGGGCTGTAAGAGTCTCATCCTGTGCGATATTGCCACATTTGATAAACAATGTGCAATATGCATATGACGCCAAATTGTACCAAACTTTTTTTAAGCATACTTTATTACTATAAAAACAGTCCTGCAAAGATTTTTTTTAAATATAATGTGATTTAGTGACAAAATTTATTCATTAAAAAGTGTCTTTTTTCAAATTCCCTCGATAAGTTCTAAAACGCACACTATTGGTCGAAGCAAGTGGCCTATCTAATATGGCGTCGCTGTGTTGACAATACACAGTTCATTTACGTTAGTTAATGTAGAATTACATTCTTGAAGTATTTTACTGTAAACACGATATCAAAACCAACTTTAAAATAAAAAAATTAATGAATAGAATTATTAATTACCACTTTGACCTTGAGAAACTTTGTTGTGTTTTACGTTGAAGTGACATCTGAGCGTATGTTATGACTGGAATAGACGATTAACGTCAATCATCTCATGACAACTCCGGTCGCGTTTTAGTCGCTCGAAAATGGTCGTAATTTTATTATATTATTTTTAGCTCAATGGTTGAATATTTTCACGTCAAATTTTTTTTGTGGTTATTTTATAACAAGTACAATTATTTAAAAAAAGAAAAAAAAACTTGCATATTCCCTATTCTTAATGCTTTGTAGTTCTATTTAAATGGTACCTTTTAGCATCCACTTGTGTCTTCAATTTGGAATATGTAGTGAGAAGTGGTAGACAGAGTTCCATCTTTTCAATAGTAGCTGCAATGTTCAACTCAACTCTGCGGGCCCTTATTAGCTCCTCTGCTCTTGAACACAGACCTTAAAAATACAAAGAGTTTTGTTATTTACGTATAAAAACTTGTATTTTAAAATAACCTCTAATGGTAGTAAAACATATGTTATAGTATTAAAAAAGGGATATATCCAATTTTTTGTATGGACCCTCCTCAATTATTAAAGGTAATGCAATAATATTGTAGATGAATATAGGCAGCTTCGGTATTTCGGCGAACATTGGCCGTTAGCTTGTTTGCAACCTTATTATACAATAAAACTTAAGGTAATACACGGGGCATAGGCAATAATGCCAATAATAGTCAGTGTTGAAATATTTTTACTATTATAAAGTTAGCTTACGCCTGCTACTGTGTGTAGTATTAAAAAAACAAGAAAAGTGAATAGCCTGTGTGGTCTTCCAGGCTATGCAATTCTATTTACAACTATGCCAAATTTCATCAAGACCCATTCAGTAGTTGAAGCTACAGACATCCATCCATATAAACTTATGTGTTTTTAAAATTTAAGCATACTTACTGTCTGTTGTCTCTTTTACATTAGAGTCGACATTAGATATCTCTGCATGCAGCTCTTCAGCGTGAGACCTCACTTGTAACAACTCACGAATTGAATCTATGAAACCCTGGAATTAATACAAATAAAACTCCAGACTGAAACTGAGTAATATCAACAAAGTATTGATAAATAAAGAGAGGTAACGAAAGAATGATTCAAACTTTTTTACTATTTTTTTAATTTATATTTATTTTGTGGCAATCTACTATACCCTAAAACACTCCGGGAAAGAAAACAAATTAAATAAATTTCATAGCTGAAAAGGACATTACCCTCTTTGTCAAACAAATGAAATCCAATCTTTTTTATTTACAATTTCTAGGGCACAAACTTGTTCTGGCATAAAGATTAGTTAGTCAAAACAACTATTGTAATAGTTTTAGAGTAAAGATCTTTACCTGGTAATAGAAATTGCATAATTTCTCAATCTCCCTGTCATGCTGTTTGATTCTTTCATCCAATTGCTGGACAAATGCTTCATGGCCACCCTCTCCTTCGTATACTGAGCGGAATGCCGGGCCCCAGTAGTCATCTATACCTTCTATCTCCTAACACACGCGAATATAAAAAAAAATTAACACTTTAGTACATTTAACTTGACTAAGTAAATAAAAAACTTTTTTAATAATTGAAGTTATAAATACTACTACAATTACTAAATCTTAGTAATAATATCAGCAGTTTATAAGATTTTATATAATAATGCAGCAATTTAAAATGTTTTGTGGGTGTTGTCTTTGAAATTATACCTGAATTGTAGCGTTGGTCATTTCAGAAATTTTTTATACCAATGTAAATGTGTACGGCGCTTCACTATTTACATAACAGTATATTTTAGAACCGACTTAAATATTCTTTTAAATAAATAAATCTATAAATATTCAACTACAAAAACTTGGATTTCTTGATTTAAGATGACAGTGACATTGACAACGACAACGACAGACATTGACACAGGCAAACTAACAAAGAGTAAATAACTGCGCGGATCGTACTTGGTCAGTACAGTTTGTCAGTAGCGATCAATAACTGGACTGTCCGCAAAAGGCATCTTTCTACTTTCTATTCTACCGCAACTGGCGTAATGTGAACGATCTGTTTTATGCAAGTTTTGCTACTATAACAAGCAATAGCGGAATAGGAGCCACACGTCAATTAATATTTGGACAGTGAATCCGGAATTGTAAAAAGCACTCCGATGGAGGAATCTATATACGTTTGAAAAAAAGTACTATATACGGTTTGAAAAAAGTATACTGATAAAATGGTTACTTAAAAAGTAGTTCTGGAGTTATAAAACTCATTCCCACTCTATAGTGGACTATTGAATTAAGACTATTCTTAATTACTCCAAGGTTACATGACTAGCATTTCGTGGAGAAACAACGCCAATACATTACCTGCCCGCCCATGATACTAACCAACTGTACTGGCCAAGCATGAACCGCGCATACTATTAAACTAGATGACAGGTATCAATGAAAAAAACCTAAGAAAAAAACTAGTTCCTTCTTGGGGAAAATAATTGGTCTTCTAAAGTTTTCTATTTTGTTAATCTTTTCAATGATAATTGGTTAAAATTATAGGAATATTTTCTATATAGTACCGTATTATCTTTATTCAATTACTAAAAGTTTGCTTCTAGCAAAGTCCAAAAAAATAATTAAACAAGATGTATTGTATCAGTACGTCTTTATCACGAGACAAATTACGATACTAGAGATGTGACTTTCATTTAAAACTAGTACTGGTATGAGTACCAGTCTCAGTTATAAAAAGTACCATCATCTTTGCAACAAAAAATCAAAAGTATTACCACTATGATTAAACTTTAGTATGAAATCGTACAATTAAAACTAGAATTTCACTAATTGTAAAATCAAAATAGAATAAAATTGTCTAATTAATGTTTTAGTACATATAGTACATATATAGCGTAGATATTGTGAAAATCGAAAATCTTTGCAACATTATTTTGCCGACATCAAACAAATGTGATAAGGACATAAATAGGAAAAGGATAAGTCGTCGGTTTTACGTTAGCAAAAATAAGAAGCGAAATGTGATTTTTATGATTGGTTAACCAAACCATATTTCCAATCCAACAAAACATTAATTTTCATTGAGTTACATTAAGGTACATCACTGTTTCGAGCTAACGTCAAAATAATCTCAATGCACACATGCAAATACATGCTATCTACTTGCTAAAATATCTGCCAAATTATTCGGCTGCAGCAAGTGGTAGCAAGTAGTGGCTAAACGGCAAGTGATACGTGTATAAATTTACGTAAAGGTGCAAAAGCTGATAAACGGCCAAAAATTTTGTGTGATCGATGTGGCCTTAATTTATATAATAAGATCATTAAACTCAAATTTACTGATATAAGAAAGTCCGGCAACCATGGCTCACTGTATTAGAGTTTTGCATGGCCAGGTAAGATTTAACATTAAAATTCATCCACGTGCAATATAATAATTAGTTATAATTGCCTATATTAGCATAATAGCGGACTATAGTTATCAGGAGTTTGTTTACGCCTTTATCAATGTTATTAAATTTACTATTGAGTATTGAATGAACAGGTCAGTTATCGTAAAATAAACCGTCTGGCGGTCAGTGGGGTCATCAGTCATGACACGATTAGTTTTCTTAGATTTTCTTATTAAGTAAGTGCCTAAAATGGCAATTTTCATCGCCATAACCTGTGACTTTATTTGCAGGGTAGCAGGACCCGAACCGTACTCTTGGATATTCAACAAAGATGCTTCAGCGTGTCACCCCTCGCCGCAGCAGCTGCTCAGGTACATAAAAAACTTAAAAAGCATCTTGAACGGTGTTTTTTAGTGTTACAAAGTGTTGTTATGTAATCGATCTTAGTGTCGAAAAATTTTAACTGTGACTTAAATTCAACGATTCTAATGTAATTAATGTGTTCTAGGTTGCTATGTCGAAGCTCGACAAAGCACCTCTGCCTTACGAGAAGTTGACGAAAAATTTGGAAGTGGTAAAGAAGAGGTTAGGTCGGGACATGACCTTGTCTGAAAAGGTGCTCTACTCTCATTTGGATGACCCTAAAGGACAGGTCAGTGATTTTTTTTAATAACTGATTTTCTGCATTTAGTAATTTTTAAGAAATTGGTAAATATGAAACATTAAACCAAATTAAATTTTCTCATGGTGGTAAATTTGTATATTAAATTACAATACATCACTTCAATTGTGTTAAAATTTAAAAAGTTAAAAACTAAAATGAATATTACCATTTCAGCAATGGTAAGTTGTAAAAAAATATATTTCAGAATTTATTTAATTTATTAGGTATTATACTGAATTACTTGTTAAGGAAAAATTGCCTTTAATTTATATTTTGGTACTAAATTTATACATCGGAGAAGGAAAGAGTGATTAAAATTGACAATGTAATATAAGTGAAAACAAAATAATGTTTTTAAAACTTTCAGTGGCATTTTTTATGCAAATGTGAACATCAGTATATTTTTTACGTAAATTGGTGTCACTAGTGTTATTTCACTAACAAACTTAATTTAAATAATTCAATTTAACTTATGTAAATGACTTTCTTATCTAATTTTTTTTGCAAGTTTTTAGAATTCAATTATTGCAAGATAACATACTAAAAATATAACTATTTATTATTTTTACTCTATGCTTTTCTTTAATACTTAATACCTTAGTGAAAGTGTAAAAAGTTAAACTTTGCAATTATAATATTAATAAAAATAATTATTCACAGGAGATTGAGCGAGGCACCAGCTACCTCCGCTTACGGCCAGACCGTGTTGCCATGCAAGATGCCACCGCACAGATGGCCATGCTGCAGTTCATCTCATCTGGCTTACCCCGTGTCGCTGTACCCTCCACTATCCACTGCGATCACTTGATTGAAGCACAAGTCGGTGGTGTTAAGGACTTGGCTAGAGCAAAGGTGAGTAAAACAGCCTGATTTTATTTATATGTCTAAATTTAAGTAAAATATGAGTTATACTTGAAGTTTTTTTTAAGTTACTTTAGCTTTTTAATTACATTGATTTGCTTTCAACAATGAATTTTAACAGTGCAATTAGTTTTAATACTTCATAGCAGTTTATTACCTTTTTAAAAGAACATTAACATATAAATAACCGACATGAAGGGCATTGAAAAAAAATTAAATAGACTTCTATTAACAATTTCTACAAAATACTTTATTCCTAACAAAAATCACATGTCAAACCTGTCATATAAAACAATCAACAAAATTCCTTATTTAAATCATCTCTTTCTCTCTCTCTCTCTCTCTCTCTCTCGCTCTCTCTCTCTATTAACTAGCTACTTATATTCACATGTGTAATTTAACTTAGGACTTGAACAAAGAAGTATACAAATTCCTGGAGACAGCGGGAGCTAAATACGGTGTGGGCTTCTGGAAGCCAGGCTCCGGTATCATCCATCAGATCATCCTGGAGAACTACGCATTCCCTGGCCTGCTGATGATCGGAACTGACTCCCACACACCCAATGGTGGAGGACTTGGTGGACTTTGCATTGGTAAAGTATTGTGAAATTATACACTTGTATTCTAGCTTTGTTTTTACAATACAAATCTATGGTACAGTTGTGGAAATCGGCTGTGTTTTACTTCCAGAATAATTGCCTTGTTACTTGCAATAAGACACTCTGTCTATTATAAATGACCAATCAGATAGCAGTATTTTAGATCAGATATTTAAAAGGTGCGTCCTAGTAGTTCTTGTTCCATGTCATATCAAGCTTTTATAGCTAATACCGCCAGATTCCCTAATTGTACTTAAGAACTGTTTGTTGTCTATGGAGTCTCTTATTTCTTTTTCCTTATAAAGATGGTTATATGTCATGTATCAGATGCTCTTCTTTCTTCTCTCATATTCCGTTTTTTTTCCCTATCTCTGTTTACTAAATTTGAGACCAATTTTTGGATTTAACTGTGTTTTCTGTGTTAAATTCATTTTTTAAACAGTTCTCTAAACTTGCAAATGTAACTATCAGTTATTTCTATACATAAAGAAGAATAATTCTAAATACCGCGATATAGGATTTTGTATGTATGGAATATGCCTTCATCTTAGATACTTTATTACACTCTTATTAATTTTAAGAATGGTAGGTTTTTTATGCTTTATTGTTTAATTTTTGTATGTAGGTATTTTTATAATGTTTGTTTATACAGGTGTGGGAGGCGCGGATGCCGTGGACGTAATGGCGGACATACCTTGGGAACTGAAATGCCCTAAAGTGATTGGTGTCAAACTTACTGGTAAGTTTAAATAATACTAGCTGTTGCTCGCGACTTCACCTGCGTGAAATTAAAAAATAATATAAAAATTGCTTATGTTACTCACTGATAACGTAGCTTTTTATTGGAAAAGTTATTGAAACCTAGTAGTTTTTGAGTTATTTCAATACATACAAAAATACAAATCTTTTCTTTTTTTAATATTAGTATGGACTGGCTGAATTTGTTGCAATGATCAATGTTACAGTGCAAGTAAAATGTTTCGTTTTTTTAAATTCTATAGAGAACAAATTTTTATTGGTATCATATTTAACTATAAAACATATTTACTTATTGATATTTACAATATTTTAAACTACATATATATTTGATGACTAATGGTAATGAATTATGGAAGACAATTTTTACTTAGTTTTTTTATGATTGTTTTATGAAGATTTAATATGTTATTTCGGTCACTGCTATCAGAGTACTGCCGACTTTAACCGGATTTTTGATAACATTGACCTTTGTAAAAATATCTCTTATACAAGAGTAAAAATATTATAATACAAATTATACAAGCAGTGTTTACTTGATAGGGGTAGTACTGTTTGTTTTCCCCCACATTGAAAAAGGCTTAGATGACAGTACGATTTTGTCCAGGTATATGCTACACTAGAAAAAGAGGGTACAATAAAATTTATATCATACTAATATTATAAATGCGAAAGTTTAGACGGATGGATGTTTCTTAGAGTTTGTAGCCTAAACGGCTGAACGGATTTCGATGAAATTTGGTATAAATGTAGAGGATAGTCTGGCAGAACACATAGGCTACTCATTTTTGTTTTTTTTTAATCACGCGGACGGAGTCGCGGGCGAAAGCTAGTACATATATAAAAAAACTTAAACTAAACTAATTTCAACGTTTGTCATATATACTTCTTTTTCTGTTAATATTTAAGTTTGAATTGACGCGTAATTTAAAAACTATAAATAATTGAAACATGTAATGTACAATCACAAACATATTTTATAACAACTTCTCAACTGAATTTTTACCTTCTTTCAAAGTAATAAGGTTGATATTATAATATCAGATCTTAGTATATGTATTGTGGATTGCCTAATACGTGTTAAAAATAGAAATAAAATACCGTATGGCTGGATGCCAGATACCAATGCGTGTTAGCCAAGTGTTTTGATTTTAAAACTTTCTTTCAAACACTTTCGAACGTGACTGTACATAAATAAATGTGCATTTTTATTTCCTCTACAATAAGATTATACCATCTCACTTCTTGCTACTTACTAATATTATACATGGGAATGTTTAGATGGATGGATGTTAGAATTTGTAGCCTAAACGACTGAACGAATCTCGATAAAATTCGGCATAGATGTACACGATAGTCTGGATGGAAGGCTACTCAATTTCGTTTTTGATTCCACGCGGATGGAGTCGCGGCCGAAAGCTAGTACTAACTAAAAAACAAAATTCATTATTCAACTTGTATATTATGTTGTATTTTTTATTAAATTTGGTCACAAAAACAATTTATTTAACGGCATACAAATTTTAATGTAAACAAGTCCGTTTGTATTGCGCAATAAGGTAACCTATGTTAATTTGAAATATATGGCGATTGTATCTTACTGTTCAAATATCACTCTTGCGCAAGATGTGATAAGGATTATTTTCTTTTGACGTAATACGAAATGCGCAATAGAGTAGACCAATTCAATGATATTTTAAACCCGAGGCAATTCTCACATGACCGGACTGATTATACAGGCGTATAAGATAACACAGTACTTATGCACTTTGTATAATAATATTCAAAGTTTATGGAAGCTTGTTCACGTTCGTGCGCCTGTATATGGTCAACAACTTGACTTAGCTGCAAGAGGGTACTGCATCTGATTTCGAACATTCAAAATGTATGAGGCGGGCAATATGAGTAGAGAAAGCATATATATTTACATCATTTTACGTTTAAAATTATTTCGTACAGCGCCTCGTGTAAAATTTCGAGCTCACGTTAAGTTTGATTCGCTCTATACCTATGTACTTTGGACATGTAATTAATTGCTCTAAGATCTAATTAAACGTGGATGAAATTGATAACCTTTCTTAGTAACTATTTACTATTCATCCCGTTTCTGTTCTTGTGGACTTTTTAATGGGTAAACTGCTACATCTCTAACTACTTGTAGATTTAGAGTGAGCGCACACTTATCACTAAACTATCGCACAACTGTTGAGCGATTGTCGATTATTTCGTAGCCAATTCAACTGTTTAGTTGCACAACTAAAAATGGAGTAGTGTGCTCACCTCCATATAAGCTCATAGGAATCAAGGCGAGACTAAACAGTGTCAGATAGTTTTATTTTAGGTGTGCTCACGGACTTATTTGTTCCAGAACATATCTTTATGTTTTTTAATAGTAAGGCAATGATGACAGTTATTTAATTTGTGGTTATGCAAAGAAATATTGACACTATCTATCTATACTTCTATACTATTATAATAAAGCGCAAACATACACTACTTTGTTGCCTAAGACATCAGCAATTACACCATATTTTTGACTAATACTCTTTTTAATAATGAGCCCTACACTTAAGTCACGCTTTAGGCTATATATTATCACGCCATTAAACTTAGGGGGTAAATATTTTGGATAAAAACCCTAATGAGGGAAAGAGACCATAAGTTGATGCCAACATCAAGGAAGCAAGCTTGCCAAGCTTTGTCATCATGTCATGTCATTTTGACATTTGCAATTGATAATTTGACACATGTAAACAATGAAATAAAATTTTCATAATTTCATGCGGATGAAGTCGCACGGGAACAGCTAGTGATCAAATATTTCACAACTGTTTTTATTAATTTGTAACATGTATCATTTGTTTAGTCTAAATCTTTATTAAACAAACAAGATAAAAATACTTAAAATATTAAATTAGATCTTTTATCATTGGACTACATACATTTGATTTTTATTCTGTTGTAATATTTCGTAATAATAATCTCTATACGTCCCTACTAAGGTGCTCGGAGCCTTCAGTTATGTTGACTAGGCCATAGTCAAACACGCTGGCCCACTGCGGGTTGACTTCGCACATATCTTTGAATTACTTCGCAGACAAGTGCAGTCATCGCGATGTTTCCTTCACCGTTAGAACGTCGGGTAATTTTTGTACATATGAAAATCGAAAATCAAATTGGTACATAGCGGGTTTCGAACCCAAGACCTGTAGATTACAAGTCAAGTACTTAAATCCCTGAGCCACCGATGCTCTTTCGCAATCCTTCTAATTATTATAAAACATTTTTCTTCTATTGATATTTTACTTGTATACATAACTATACTTTTTTATACAAATGATTGACGCATTGCGTTTGAAAATTATCTTTTTATCATTTATTTACTAAATAAATTACCCCAAATCAATCATAATAATAAAAGATAATCTTCGATTACGTCAATGGGTTTTCAATAATCTACAACAATTTGAAATACTTTCGTTGTGTTTTTTGATACGTATTTCTTACTTTTTAAATGTATGGATGTGTAGATGGTCTTTTGCTGGGACGATTTGTTGTCGAACCCCAATTATAGTCTCCCTTATCTACTCTTCTAATAAGGTAAAGATGGGATGGATTAGAGGGCCGAGAAGACGCATATGAAGGGGAAATATCCTCTTTATGTGTGTCTCCTCTTCCGTTTAGAAGTAGACAACACATCAGATAGTGCCCATGTTTATAACTTTTAGTTAAAAAAAATGAAAAGAAATGCACTGTTTATTTTTTAATTCTGCGCGGATGAATGTTCCTTATACTTTTTGGTTCTTTTTTTCTTAATCCATCTTGATTCTTCTTCGAAAGCAGCTGTTGCATTTTTATAGGAACTTGTTTGTCTTTACTATGTTAAAATATTTCGCAATGTTATGTATCAGCTTCAATTTAGATAAAAATGTTATCACAATAACTCATATTAAATATTATCTCTTGATACCTCCCGCAGCTTACTAAAAGATTATTTTTATTTGCAAATACTTTTTGCCTTACAAAAATAGTAGTTCAAATATAATAAATGTCAATAAATATAATCTTTGATAAAGATGTTTTTTAATACTATAAGTAGGTAGATAATATTTTTTTAATTGATATTTTAAACATTTATAATTCATTTTTTTATTAGTACTAATCCGAGCGTCGGTGGCTCAGTGGTTTAAGCACTTGTCTTGTAATCTACAGGTCTTGGGTTGGAATCCCGCTGTACCAATGTGATTTTCGATTTTTCGAATTTTCATATGTACATAATTTACCCGATGTTCTTACGGTGAAGGAAAACATCTTGATGCAACCTTGCACATATCAGCGAAGAAGTTCAAAGATATGTGTGAAGTCAACCAACCCGCACTGGGCCATCGTGGTTGACTATGGCCTAGTCATTCTAACTTTAGGGTAGGCTCCGAGCCCCTCGGTGGGGACATATAGTGAGCTGGTGATGACGAACTTACGACTGCATAACTTTAAGGTTCTTTTTTGCTAAGTATACATTTCCACTAGCGATAGATATAAACAAAAATATTATTCCAGACATTCTACTCTATGCCAAAAAAACTTTTTAAATTTATACAAAACAGTAATAGTACGAATACGAAATTATTTCGTAATTAAGATTTTTTCGACAATAAGGCCTTAAGTATACTCGAGTCTTCGTATAAATAACTAGAAGTTGCTCGCGACTTCGTCCACGTGGTATTAATAATTAGTAAAAAATGTAGCTTATGTTACTCAACGAGAACGTAGCTTATTAACGGGGAAAGAATTGAAATAGGTCCAGTAGTTATTGAGTTATTTCAATGAATCCAAAAATGCAGATCTTTACTTTTTATAATATTAGTATAAATATGAAGGTAATATGGAAATGTTTGTCTGTAGGTCAATTGAAAGGCTGGACGAGTCCTAAGGATGTGATCCTGAAGGTAGCGGGCATCTTAACAGTGAAGGGAGGCACTGGCGCTATCGTGGAGTACCATGGGCCTGGTGTAGACTCCATCTCCTGTACTGGAATGGCCACTATTTGCAACATGGGGGCGGAAATTGGCGCCACAACCAGCGTAAGTTTAACTGACAGAGTAATCTATACAAGACATTCAAGAAATATATAGACTAGGCATAGTAAACAATTTTTTTTCACCGGTACTTTCTCTGAAAGGTACTATATTAGTGGTCAAGTTTAGTGCTACCTTGTGTCCTTATATTGACATGTAATTTTACAAAATTAAAATAAGCTCCATCTTTTATTATAAAATAAACTCAACAGCGCCTAAACATAGAATATAAACATTTAAATACTACTTAATGACATTGAAAAAAATAACAATTGTTTTTTTTGTTAAAAATGTTTTAAATTAAGTGTCAACTATGCCTACTCTATATTTTTTGAAACTCTTTGCTTCTATCAGTAACTTTAGCGGGAGTTGGAGTTCCTTTTGTTATTAAAAAGGTAATTAATATTTTTTACTTCAGAGTATGTGTATTTTATTTTATTTTCAGGTGTTCCCCTACAACTCTCGCATGGAAGCGTACCTTAAGTCAACTGGCCGTCATGACATCGCCGCCAAAGCTAATTCCTTCAAACATCTGCTCACCCCAGATTCTAAAGCACCTTACGACCAAGTAAGCGCCACCTTTTAATTATTTTTAAGTTAAAAATAGAATAAAAAAATAAGGACGTCATCGATTTATAAAAAAATGCTTAAACATAAAAATAAAACCATCAAATTATTTGTATTTTTGTATGTATTATAATTCATCAAAAACTACTGGGCTGATTTTAAAAATTCTTTCATCATTAGAAAGCTATGTTATCGCTGAGTAACATGGGCTGTATTATTAAATTACGTAGACGAAGTCGTGAGCAATAGCTAGTCATTACTAATTAAAAAAAGGCTCACATAAAACGTAATTAAAAAATAATTTCCAGTTAATCGAGATCGACCTATCAACCCTGGAGCCCCACGTGAACGGTCCCTTCACCCCCGACCTGGCCAACCCCATCTCGAAGCTGGGCGACGTCGCCAAGAAGAACGACTGGCCGCTGGACATCCGCGTCGGCCTCATCGGCTCCTGCACCAACTCCTCCTACGAGGACATGGGCAGATGCGCTAGTATTGTTAAAGAGGTAACAAATCACGTAGGGCCACAAAGGGCCCTTAGTCTTGACTTTTAATGTAAAACTTGTCACATAGGGCCCTTCGAGACACACAAAGGGCCCTTAGTCTAGATTATAAAAACAAAATTTGTCTCCTAGAGACCTTTGATAGTCGCTAGGGACCCTTAATGTAAACATTATAGAGGTTTAATAACTCACAAAGAGTATTTTGATAAGTTGAGTAAGGGCCCTTTCTGTAGATGGTAGGGTAAAATGTCATATAGCGCCCTTTGATTGTCACTAAGGGCCCTTGACCTAGAATTTGGATACTAAATATACAACACGTCAATAAATTTTTCGTATTAACTACTAACATTCTTGAATTACTTACTAAAAGAAAGCTTTGTATAAAAAAAACTGTACAATAAGAGACTAGGTATAGCGAACTAGTCTAGTCTAGTAATGAGTTTTTTTAATAATAACTAAGGGTCCTTTAATGTCTATTAAAATGTTTCAATGCAGCAATTTTTCATTCATGAGCAATTATTAGACTTTATGAGCACACTACAATATAAAAAAGTTATAATAATTATATAATGCTTGTGTATTTGGTTTTTAGGCGATAGGTCACGGTTTGAAGTCTAAGATCCCGTTCAACGTGACCCCCGGCTCGGAGCAGGTCCGCGCCACTATTGAAAGGGACGGAATCGCTCAGACCCTAAGGGACTTTGGAGGAACTGTGAGTACAATGTCTTACAAAATCCAATATTTCCAAACATAAAGTGTAAATACGATAAAAATTGTAAATTATGAGGATTAGAGGCCCTAAGGCTAAAAAACTGTGTTTGAGGTACCTCAGAGTACAGTCAGATGCATAAATATGTGTATACTTACAAGGTTAATATTTTTTTATTCTAAAGGCAATAATATCAATATATAAATGTTGATAAGATTTTTTTAGTAAAAAACTATATTAAGTCCTTTTTGAATTATTTATGTGGGTTTCTAGAGCCTGTAGGCAGCTCAGTTATTAAATTTATTTTACAATTTTCGACTCTAGCAACGACCGACGACATCTTTTAGCGCCCTCTTCCCTCCCCTCTTTCCCTCATAATCCCATTTCCCCTGGCGATGTCCAAGTATTTGCAGCTAACTGTACTTTTGTCTATCAAATATCATAGTATAATGTGTTTCTTTAGGTGTTGGCGAACGCGTGCGGTCCCTGTATCGGCCAGTGGGACCGAAAAGATGTGAAGAAGGGAGAGAAGAACACCATCGTGACGTCATACAACCGCAACTTCACCGGCCGCAACGACGCCAACCCCGCCACCCACTGCTTCGTCACCAGCCCCGAGCTCGTCACCGCGCTCTCCATTGCTGGTCTGATATCAAAAATGTTATAAAAATACTAACAAACACTTCAATAGATAATGAACAACTACATAACATGCATTACTTCGATACAGCGTTGTACATTGCTGGTCACATACTATAACATTCAAGTTGAACACTAACAAATAATTCAATGGGTATTAAACAACTGCATATTGTATTACTTCGCACTGCGATGTACATTGCTGGTCACATACTATAACACATAAGTTAAATATTAACAAATACTTCAGTGGATTTGAAACAACTATATAACATGCATTGTTTTGACACTGCTGTACATTACCTGTCAGTATTGTAACAAATATTTTAAATCCTAACTGATACTTCGATGGATGTTAAGCATTATTCATTACTAATGAGATATGATGCATTTTTGTTGTTTTTTGCATATCATGACACAATAAAGTTGTTTTTCTCAGTTTTTCAAATGTAAACTTGCATTTCAGGTCGTTTGGACTTCAACCCGTTGTCAGATGAGTTGACCGGCAAGGACGGCAAGAAGTTCAAGTTATCTGATCCCTTCGCTGATGAGCTGCCCGCTAAGGGCTTCGACCCTGGTCAGGATACCTACCAGCACCCGCCTGCTGATGGCTCCAGTATGTATTTTCATCACCTCTTAAATTTAGGGATCCCATACTCCTTACTGAGATTTAGAGGCCAAAAATTATGAATCGACAATTTTGGATACAAATTATGTTAGTCATATATTAACTAGCTTTCCCCCGCGATTGCGCGTAGCAAAAAATAAGTAAGATGTTTCAGACTATGTTCTACATTTGTGCCAAATTTTGTAGAGACCCGTTTATTAGTTTGAGTAACATGCATCCATCTAAATTTTCGTATTTATAATATTAGTAAGTATAACCACGAAAAGTGGGCGTAAAGTAGAGGAAATTCGAGCACTTAAATTTAATATTAACATAATAATATTTGCGTTGTATTATTTTTTATCAAAAGAACTATTGACATGAGATATGAATATTATTTTGTTTATAACAAAAAAGTAAATTACGGTGTTACCCGTTGGAAAGATTGACCCAACACAATCGGAAAAAAATCCCAACACCTAAAATTAACCTAAAAACTCCATAAATATTGATTTAAAATGACAGAAGTGGCCGTGGACGTGTCTCCGAGCTCCGACCGTCTCCAGCTCCTGGAGCCCTTCGACAAGTGGGACGGCAAAGACCTGACGGAGCTGACGATCCTCATCAAGGTGAAGGGGAAGTGCACCACCGACCACATCTCCGCCGCCGGCCCCTGGCTCAAGTACAGGGGCCATCTCGACAACATCTCCAATAATATGTTCATTACGTGAGTTTTTACTATATTTGTTAACGCCAAAATATGCTATATATTTACAAAATAAATCAAACTTGATACAATTATTGTGTATATTACAAAAACATAATAACATATCTATACTATTATTAAAAAGAGGTATGACTTAAATTTTGTATGTATTGTAATAACTCAACTACTGGGGCGATATCAAAAATTCTTTCACCATTGAAAAGCTATGTTATCAGTTAAGAAACTTAGGCTATATTTTGTTTGTGTTACTAATAGAATATAAACTATTAATCAAAAACTTTAATTATACGTAGAAACCAAATAAATAGCGTCATCATCATCATCATCACCAGCTCACTATACGTTCCCACCGAGGGGCTCGGAGCCTACCCTAAGTTAGGGTGACTAGGACATAGTCAACCACGCTGCACTGCGGGTTGGTTGACTTCACTCATATCTTTGAATTTCTTCGCCGAAATGTGCAGGTTGGATCACAATGTTTTACTTCACCGTAATAACGTCGGGTAAATTATGTACATATGAAAAATCGAAAATCACATTGGTACATATTTAATTACAACCATTTGTATCACGTTACACATATTTGTTGTACAGGGCAACAAACGCGGAGAACGGTGAGCTGAACAAGGTGCGTAACCAGGTAACAGGTGAATGGGGCGCAGTTCCAGCCACCGCGCGCGCCTACAAGGCGGCCGGCACGCGCTGGTGCGTCGTTGGTGATGAGAACTACGGCGAGGGCTCCTCCCGCGAGCACGCCGCGCTCGAGCCCAGGCATCTCGGTGGAAGAGCCATCATTGTTAAATCCTTCGCCAGGTCGGTACAACACAACACAACACCATGTAACACCGCATTACAGCACATAACACCACATTAAACTACGTTACACCACATAACACTACATTACACCATATAACACCACATTACACCATATAACACAACGTTACACATATTACACTATATGACATGTTTCGACAGCATCATCACTTTCTTTGGGGGGAATCGTGGTCAAGCGCTAGCTTAACAAACATAAAAAATAACATAGCATTACACGGATTACTCCCAACCGTCACCTCGCTCTGAGTGTGTGGAGACAGATGTCAATAAAAAGTTTCATCTGTCCATCTTTTGCGACTTGGGGACGGTTGTAATTTATTTTATTTCATAACGGTTCAATCTGTCACTTTATTGGTGATAGTGGGACTAAAACGAGGGACGGATGAAATTTTTTATACTCACGTGGGGTCAGAGCGGTGTGACGGTTAGGAATTATCCCATTACACATTGAATTGCATCATACTACACTACACTATTTATAATGTCTTTCAAAAATAGATGGGTTGTTATGCTTACAAAGACAAATAACTGTATAAGTTATTTTTACCTCTGTTGCTTTAAAAGGATTATTATACCAGATGGAAATGTCTTAATAATGTTTCGACAATGGAGACCAACTGTTACTTCACATTTCAAGAAACTACAACATTCCGAGTATACTATAATTCTGTCTAATAATTGATATTTGTGTATTCAGGATCCACGAGACGAATCTGAAGAAGCAGGGTCTGCTGCCGCTGACGTTCGCGAACGCCGCCGACTACGACAAGATACAGCCCACGGACAAGATCTCCCTGCTGGGCCTGAAGGACCTCGCTCCCGGCAAGGTGACTTATAATTTATAACATCACTTAATCTGAAATAATAAAAAAAATGAATAAAGGAAACCGCCTTTGACATTTTTACTACATTTTTTTGAGAAAAACTCAAAGACTACTGTATAGTTTTTTATTTTGAGAAAAATGTTATAGAAAAAATTATCACGTAGTTCGGATCGTAAATCGCAGCATATCGATGTATTTACTTAAAATTCCCCTTTTTAAAGTCTGCAAAAATTAATGTTTTCTTAACTAAAAAAGGTTCAACAAAATCAAGTAGCCTATGTATTTTTCCAGACTATCCTCTACATTTATGCCAAATTTCATCAAGATTTCTTTAGCCGTTTAGGCTACAAACTCTAACAAATATCCATCCATCCATCGATCCATCCATCTAAACTTTCACATTTATAATAATGTAAGATAAAAAATGCCAAAGTTTAAATATTTGTTAGATTTTGTAGCCTAAACTGCTTGATGGATCTCTTTGAAAATTTACACAGATTTAGAAAATAGTCAAGAAGGTTATATACTAAGATATTTAAAATAATAAAAAAACAGTAACTAACTTTGATATATTACAGCAAGTGGACTGCGAAATCAAACACAAAGATGGCAGCGTTGACCGCATTAAATTGAATCACTCGTTGAACGAGCAACAAATCTCATGGTTCAAGGCAGGTTCCGCACTCAACAGGATGAAGGAAATTGCTGCCGGCAAGTGAACTTACCCCTAATGCCTCTTGCACTGGATTTACCCCATAATAGGGTAATTATAATGCACCCCTATGAGCCATATTTTAAACTTTATTCTACAATGGTAGCTAGTATAGCTAATTTTTAACAGTATTGTAGTCAATTTAACACAATATAAAATGCAAGAAATTTATTATGAATATGGATTGAGGCTATTTTTTAATAAAAATGTCGATTTCTCAAATAAAAGTTTAATTACCAAATGATGTTCGATTGTGATTTTATTACCAGACAATATTTAAATACTTAAGTAACATTAAGTACTTAAGTAGTAGCTAAATAGTATAAACTCCAGTGCAAGTTAGATAAATGTTATTATAAAGAGCATTTTATACAGTTGCCCAACACTCAGGCAATGAATCTTATATACTTAGCTGTAGGAAGTACAAAACTTAGATGAAATTAGTTTAAGTTTGAACCTTTTTTTGTCAATTTACATGTTATTAATGAATTATGAATATATTAAAAATATCAGTTATTTATATTTTTGTTTTATTTTTAATTATATCCTTTTTGAGTCACTTCTGTTAAATCTTCCAGTGGCATAATTGCCAATGAATCGATTACACCAAAAGTGCGGGAAAATTTACTGTAATGCTCTTGTGAATACTTTTAGATAAGCACTTATATGCATTAAACCTGAAACTTTTTATCCCTTAAATGCATGATTTTTTCTGTTGAATACCATAAATTAAACATAGATCAAGGTAGAATAAAAATTTCTTTAAAATAAAATTTTGTTAGAAAATAGTGATGTGTAAATGCATCATGTATTAAAGAGTTAAATCTATTCTCTTAAGCCTAGTCCTGAATACTTCAATGAATAATGAAAAGCTACAGTATATAGTCAGTATGTAAGTCCAGTATGTCAGTGTCAGGTACAAAATACTAGTAACTCTTAAGGAGATTACACTTGTTACATGACTGAAAAGAGATTTTATGTGTAAATCAGAGGGAGTTGTGTTATTCACGGAGAAACTGAGCAGAATGTTGTCATGGTATGGACATATGCATAGGTAGAAAGATAGATGAAAACGGATTTATGAATGGTGTGAAAGATGGTGAATTCAGATGACAGTTAATAGATGTATGTAACAGTACATACTGTCCAACACTTTATTCCCTCATCCTTCAAAGGACAGGCTATGATAATTTGTCAAAGGGATTGAAATGTGAAACAAAGCTTGGTTAATATTGTTCCTATTGTACTCTCATAGATTACTAAAAATAGTAAATCAATTATGTCCCAAAAACTATGACATTAAGGTAACTATAAGGAATATGTCACTTGTAAAATTAACTTGATCACTAGGATTTTTAAGATTCTGCTATCTTCCTGAAGTTACCTTTGACAGTTCTCGTGTAGCTTAAATAAAACTCAATTTAGTGTAAAACTATTTTATTTAGCAACAGTTTAATCTTCATTGTCTTCATTATCACTGTCAGCGTTGATGTTGAAGTAACGCAGTTCATAAGCATCATGAGCGGACGCAACCACACGCAGCCAGTCTCTGAGGTTGTTCTTCTTGAGGTACCGCTTTGTCAAGTATTTCAGGTACCTCTTGGAGAAGGGAATGTCTAAAACAATAATATATTATTGGATATGCAATAGAAATAAACGCTGATTGGAAAAAATTCTAATATGACATTACTAGTCTTTGTAAACAAATTTAGAATAAGTTAAAAATATTTGAATTTAGTGAAACCACATAACTTTTGAGATAATTCTACCCATCCAAGGAAGAGGAACATTGTTTTCTATGACTTTGAACTCACAAATAAATAAATAATTTGTTTTACTTTTGGCTGGGTTAAGAATGTCACTGAATGGTTCAGTCCCTATATATGAATGTTCTAAGAATTTATTCGGAGTAATCAGATTTTATAACATTTTCATTCAACATAAAAGAAAACACCAACCTGCGTTGATAGCAACCTTCGTCTTGTCCCTAGCGATAACAACGTGATTTCCTAGGTTATTTGTTTTGTTCTCAACTTTTACATGCTCCTTGAGGTATTTCTCGAAGTTGCCGACATCCAAGATGCTGTCTTCAGCGGGGTGTGTGCAATCAATTGTGAACTTCAAGTTGATTTTCCTTTTCATTCCTTTACCGCGGATTTGACCACCCTTGACTCCCTTCTTACCCTTTTGATGCAATTGGGCCTTTTTAGGCGCGGGTTTCTTAGTTACTGCCATTTTAATGCCCTGAAAAATAAATCGTACTCGTAATATTGTACTTCAGATAAATAATTCACCGAAAATAAGTAAATTGTGAGCATTAACCTACAGAACACGTGTAGCAGTATTCGTCAAACCTGCAAAATGGCCGACTTTTTGGCAGTTACCATAAACTACACCACTTAGGTTTTAGTCTATGGAAATATTATGCTTTGAATACAAGGTTTTGCAGACCTCAATAATACAGCTAAATTCATTTTAGGCTTACAACATTAAAAGTGTATTATATTATCATACTTTATTGCCTGTTTGAAGAGATGAAGATTTAATTTACAAATAAGTTTCAGAAAAAAAAAACTATTTTCTACGCTTGATATAAAGTATCAAGCAATCAAGGAGAAAAGTCAACTGTTTTGGCGGGCAATTTAAAATTATTTTTGTATCAATAGTTTCAAAACAAGAGTTTATTAAGATAACAAAGAAGATTATTAATTCTTTAACTAAACCTAATATTATCTATATCGCCTAAAGCTAAAATGTTTTCTGCAATGTGTTTAAGTGTAGAGTAAGCAACTCGACATACCTTGAGCACAATGCTTTTATTGTTTTATCGGCTACGCTACCTTTATTTCCCACGAATGAATTAAATTCGAGGTCACGACTCACGACACGACGCTTTTTTACCTGTTATGATGTAATGCCTTTTTGTATTTTTGACGCATTATAATTTTTTAACAATGTGATTGATTTATTGATTTCATCTTTTCACAAAAAAAATAACTGTCAAGCTGTCAAGTGCTGTTGCTGTTATCAGCTGTTTAAAATTAAATAATCATTTAAATACCATACTTCAGAAAGTTTAAATAATGGTACGCAACCGCGGCACGGCTGCGCAGTGTATTTATGTTTATTTACTACCAAGCTACAGTTGATTTCCTGTCTTCGCGAATGAAGTGAAGTGTAAACCTATTTTTGTAGATAACCTCTTTTGAAAAAGGTGAATCACGGCGCGTAAATTGTGAACTTTATATAAACTTTACACGTGTGTATGTGTTTTATATTTTTGTATAAGATAAAAGCAAACACAGCTTTATAATTGCAAGTCGCTATTTAATCGATAACACTATGGAATCGATCACAGTGTCACGCAAATGATAAAATGGAAAAATGTTTCGTCGCCTGTGGCTGCGACGATCAAGAAGGTATAACAAAGGGAGATTTAGATCGCTTTACTGATAAAATTGAAAACGTCTTGAACGATGAAAAAGGCAGGAGATTGTTTAGGAATTTCATGTTCACAACAAAGATGAAAGACGGCCGAAGAACTTTAGATTTTTTAGAACACATCGAAAGACTGCTCGGCTATTCCGAAGACGCCGAAAGTACATCGTACCGCAATTACCTCAGAGATTTCGATCGTTTAATAGATGAAGCTGAACGTATAGAAGAGTTAGATTTCGCAACAATGGAACGACTTGTTATTGCTCGCGACTCTGAGAGCAAAGATGAAATGGAAACCGTACTAAAACTATTAAAAGGTGAAGCGATTAAAGCACTTCGTAGGGAATACAGTGCTTTCCGTAGGCACTTTATTCCAAACAATTAAATATTCAGTGCCATGCATCATAAAGCTGTTTAAAAATTCGCGCCAGACTGACAGTACTTATTTTTTTGTATAAATGCAACATGCATCACATTGTTATTTTTATTGTTTAAACTAAGTTTGAACATTTTTTTTTTATTTTGTAGCGCATACTTTGTGTTCGTCCAAATAATGTGATTATTTATTTATACCACGAAAGTACCTAATAATAATATATAAAGCAAAAATAAAAATGTTAAGCTTCAATGTTTTTTATTTTACTAAAGGTCCAAGTATTTAGTTTTATCAAGTTAATTTCCAAACAGCATTAACTATATTAAAAATTGATATGTTAAAAAATTCTAGTATGTTTGATTTTATGTTTGGATAATAGTTTTGTACAGGGATAAAAATAAAACAATCCATAAAGAATTTAGACATTCTCAGATATTGTTGATGTTATAACTTCTCGAAAATGTATCAACTTCATGTCACTAAAAAATGTAAGACATACACAAATGAAATTCATAATTGGATATAATTTTTTATTACTAAACAAGATTTTCATAGAATTTTTACTTAATACGAAGGGTTAATCATTTTCGGAATCAGAAAGATTATTGCACAAATTCTATAACAGGCAAAGACAATAATTTTTGAATTCACATAAGAATATTTGCAGTTATTAAACTGATACATTATATTCACATATATAAGGTATTTGAATGAGATTTCTTTACTATTAAGCTAGCTAATGTTCACTTCTAACTGAAGAGTGTTCACTTAAAATTATACATAAGTAAGCGAAATTATAACTGTCAGTTGAACTCTCAAGTTAAAATTATGCCTACAAATTAGAACTGAACATAGAAACAGGCTTTGGAAAGTATTTACTTGGCAGTATATGTATTTGATATATTTTTAATTGCTAATATAAACAGTGATTTGGCTAAACAATTGTACAATATATAGTTGTCTCACTTTCTATCAGGGAGTGAAAGAGACAGCACTATTTTTCGTGCAAGATTTTTGGCAGTATGTATCCTTGTAGATAAAAAAGATTGTACTGATATTTATTAGTGTAATGTAGTATAAAATCTTATTTTAAATTCCATTATTTTTATGTAAAATTGCAAAATTCTATTGATCCTTATAATAGTTGTTTTCTAAATAGTAACATTTCTATTGATATATGAAATTACAATATGTAATACAAACAGTATGCATATAGTAATGTTGACAGCTTCAAAATTCACCATTTAAGCGATAATTCATTACAAATGATTGATTTCAACATGAAAAAGAATTTTTCTTAATGTAATTTCACTTGAATATTTACTTACTCTTCTACTTGTAACATGTTGTACTCTCCTTCTTTTAATTTTTATTGTGTTGTGGTCTTAGTGTTCGGTGTAAAATAAATTGGTTTGAAGAATAACGGTCGCATTATTTAAATCTGCATCGTTACCAGCTCGCCACCAGCGACACCATCACCACCTACCACCACATATTCTATTTACTGTTTTAATTAATTAATTTATAATTAAAATAGTACCAACTCTGTTGTTTTTTGTCTATTTTGAGTTATTAACCATTTGGCAATCTGATTTTTTATTTATACTACTTAAGGTACAGAAGATTAAAGAGTTTTGATGTTACCAAAGTTTGATTATTAAGAACCAATAATTCCGAAGCTGTCAACAGACTATATAACTGAACTATAGATATATGTAGATATTTATCACTGTTAAATGAGTCCATTTCTCATACGTTATAATTATATAGTTACACTAAACTATCTTCTCTACATCATTTTAGTTATAACATAACTAAAATGAGTTTCATTCCCTAAGTCTTCTTCCAAGAATAATACATTTCTAGTGGCTTGTTCACCTGAAATAGATACTTTACTATTATTATAAATGCGAAAGTTTAGATGGATGGATGTTTGTTAAAGTTTGTAGCTTAAACGGCTGAACGGATTTCGATGAAATTAGGTACAGATGTACAGGATAGTCCAGAAGAACACATAGGCTACTTACTTTTATTTTATATTAATGCCACGCGGACGGAGTCGCGGGCGGAAGCTAGTTAATAATAATTGATTATTTGCATTGAATAGGTTTTGAAATTATAAATTATAAAAATTCTTTGACCAGAATGACATATCAACTAAATTACTGTAATAGATTCCAGTAAGCTAGTTACAGCCAAATAAGGGAATCTTACAAAACATTTGCATATTAACATGTTGGTTGGTAAGTACTACTTACAATCTGACATATGAGATAATCTTAATGGAATTTGGAGTTTAAGAGTGGCCTTATCATTTTCAACGCATTTACTTAAATCTCTTTTAATTAGCTCTTTTAATGAGAAGCAATTACAACTTACTGCTTTTTCTTTAGAGTCGCTTGCTTATATGAGAGATAACAGTAACATTACATTACCTTCCAGAATTTATCATTAATCTGCCTCAGTGTTTGTGAACCAGAGAGGGGCACAAACTGTCCGGGTGAGGGCGCCACGTAGATACAGAAGTTGAGCAGCCGGTAAGCCTCCGGCAACTCTGCATCCAGGTCTAATGTGAGACGCATCGCTAAGTATTTACTTAAGTGGTCCACTGAAATTTGAAACAATGTTATAATGTTACTACAGTCGGACCTCGATAACTCAAACCTTTTAAAAACCTCTATAACTTCAAAAAATAATATGTTTCCTTCCCATCAGAGCCCAAAACCTCTACAACATAGACCCTTAATAACTTAAAACCTCTATAACTTAAAATATTCTGTGTTTCCCTTGGACTTTAACTTATCGAGGTTCTACTGTAATATTATAAATGTGAACTTTTAAATGGATGGATGTCAGAGTTTGTAGCCTAAACTACTGAACGGATCTCGATGAAATTTTGCATAGATGTAGGACATAGTCTCGAAGAACACATAGCCTAGTTACTGAGATTTTTTTTAAATTTCACATGGTAAAGTCAGAAAGAGAGTACATACCTGAAGCATTAGCCGTGGTCTTGAGATACCTCACAGAACTATCTCTCAGGGCTCTCATTAATTGATTATCTCCGGTCATTTCCGTAGGATGAGGCTTAAACACTAACTCTATTTCATTTGGGTTCAGGGGCTCCCCCTCCCCCTCCGTATCCATTGAATTTTCACCTTCAGTTCTGAAACAGGTAATAACTAAATGATACAAAAAAAAACGCAACAAAAACAAGAACATGCTTAAGAAAATGAAACTTCTATAGATTTATAGACTAACCAGAAATATAAAAACCCTCAAATATTGAGAGAAACGGGGAACTAATTTTATTGCAAACTTTAAACATTGTTATATGAAGTCAGCTACATAAATTCTGTTTTTAAATAACAATTCAAACTGTTAAAAATAGATAAAACCTTGTATCAACGAAATTTTAACTGTCAGTTGAACTATATAATTCTAGGATTGCCTCCACCTACAATTTTAACTGAACAGTTTGCATGTATAGTTATCTGTAAGTTACAATTGCTGGCAATTTCAGGGCAGGGTTTTTATAGTCTTGGTTAGGCTTTGAAATATTTGACTACATTACAAGAAAAGACTGTAATAGATGGGTTAAAGAGTTTAGAGGAAGAAGTCTATAAGGTAAGAACATTAACAAGATAGATGGCTAGAAGCAAGATATAGAACAAGACATTAGTAAAAGCATGAATGTAAAAAAATAAATAGGATTTTAAGAATATTTCAAGTACAATATTGTGTATTAATGACATTTATAACTGCTACAGTGGGAATTTATGGAACACTCGTAATTATTGTTGTATTTTTTACTGAACTGTGGTATTATTTGATTTGTTGTAATTTTATTAAAGATTGGCTGTTCACAATTGTGTTTTAAGGATTTCAGTTTTCATATTAATGTAGAATTAGTGTATTACAAATAAAATTCTATTACAACATATTAAAGCTACAACTTTAACATTTAATAAAAGAAAATACTTCATAGCAAATAAAAACTAAAGCCAGAATGAAAATTTACCTGTTGGTTTTATCTTGAAAAGAAATAGTTTAATTTTGGCACAACAAAAACAGGCAAATATATCTTTCTTATATATAAATAATGTAGGATTTTAATAAATTTTGAATATAAGTAATAATAATAATATATTTCCAATTGAACCCTACTCTGTAATTAAGGTTTGCAATACCTCTTACAGGCAAAGAAAGCATTTCTAGAAATGGTTGGATAATATAGAAGTGTGCTACTTCATTCCAAATCGTTATTTACATGTTTAAATATGTTTATAATGAAAACAGACCTGCCATCACTAGATTCACTTTCCTCACTGCGTTCCGATGTAAGAACAGATTTTGCCCTTTTAGTTGTGCTTGTGTTTTTTGACACAGAGCTTACGTTTGAAGGTACCGGAGACGGCGTACTTCGCACCGACGCCGGATTGGAGGTAGACTGACCAGGGGGGGTCGGATTACCAGTTGATGTACCATCTTTGGGCACTGAGGAACTGTTCCCGTTTTGAACCGGTTCCGAAGTACCGTTGGAATTTGACGGATTGCTGCTTTCTTCTTGGTTTTTTCTTGATCGTTGTGGCCTATTCTGTGACTGAAGTTTTATCCCCTCAGTTATAGAATTGACTAAAGACGCTTGCGAATGAGACATGTTCAGCTTAGCCAGGACGCGCTCCTGATGAGCCTCATATTCATCTCTGCTAGGATAGATTTTAGATATTAACAAGTCAAAGTTGGGATCAGGTCGCAGGGAACGTTTTGACACCAGTTTCTTGCGACACGTCGGACATTCCTTGTTGCCTGACCGAAGTGCAGTAATTATACAATCTGAGCAGAACCTGTGGAGACATTCCTTAGTAGTCATCGTTTTTTTCAACATATCTAAACAAATCGGACACATCAGTTCGCTGTGCAAGCTCCGTGGGGAAACCGCAATTTCCGTGGCATCTGTTATGACTTCTTGCGGCGTCCGATGGAGTTCGTAGAGTGAAAGTTCCCATGTTTTATTTTGTGAAGGCTCTGTTGATGACATATTTGTGAAATTATAATATTTATTTATGAAATAATAAACATTTTGCGATAATTGACATGACAGCTCAGGCTAGCTGCTTCCACCATATTGTTTTGCATTTGAACGCAATGTTGCCATTACCACTTGCCACTTGTCAACATAAAGTATTTTTTGACGATTTAGCATGATATATGTGACTTTTAAGGGCACATCTGTACATTCAATTAATAGTACAATTCGGGTTTTGATTACATAAGTTAATTGTCGCTCCCTTTAATTATTGTTATAGTATAATAAAATAAAGATATTTTAAAAATGTTGCAGTACTGCCATCTACACTATTCTATGAAGAACATTGGAATCTTTTTTCTATCTTTTTGCCTATATAATTTCTTAAATCGTGTAGTTTTTAATTATATCATAAATTGTACTTCGTAGTTAAGAAATAAGTAAGACTACCTATAATTAGTTGTCTATACGGGATTCAAAAAATTATGAATCCATTACCACTGACCGCTTGTTCGCCCTCTTTCTTTCACTTGCAGCTAAGTTCTATGTGAATAAAGAATGCTATGGTCCGCACGGGAGGTTTCCGCTTAGTAGTTATTGGGTTTCCAAGATCTCTGTTAGATTCAAAATATAACTGAAAACCTGGCCAAAACGGAACTCTACGAACATACAGTGTTTTTTTTTCGTAATTATCATTTTAACAATTGAATTTTTCAGATGTTGGATTTTGTAGTAATGTTATGCCACCAATAGTCCCAAGTAATTAAAAAGCTATAAAATCAATACCAATAGAAGTAAAAACACAAGTCAAGACCGCAACGAATCTTCGTGAAATCGTTATTTCAAATTCATTAATTATTTCGAATTCTGATTCTTTCCAATTAAGTAATCTGCCCTATAGTATATTTACCATAAAAGACATATTTGTCTGCTATACTGCTATTTACTTAACGTTTACTATAACGTACTTTTCTTATTTTCATTAATCTAATCATATTAATAAAGGTACGAAAGTTTAGATGAATGGATTATGTTTGTTAGAGTTTGTAGCCAAACGGCTGAACGGACTGCGATGAAATTTGGTGTAAATGTAGAGGACTATCCTTTGAATAACACATAGGGTACTCACTTTTGTTTATTTCTTAATTTCACAGGGACGCAAACGAGAGAGAAAGCTAGTATACTATATTGAATGAAAAATACTCCTTGTAAATGCTGTTTTAAGTATTTTTTTCGCTTTTTACGTTATTTAGGTTATCTCTTTAAAGAAAATGTAGGTTATGTGCAGGTATAAATAAACAAAACATCTCAAGCTTATTTCATTTATTTGTGGTTTACGAAAGCAGTTGCAGCTTTGCATAATTTTATTGAATATTTTTTACATAACTGTATATTGCGAATAACGCTCACTACCTATTACTTCAATTTTAATAAAAGTTATTAAGAATAGTTAAGTAATTATTGATTTAAATGCAATTGGCAGCTTATAAATATTTCCAAATAAGAAGAAAAAACTCTTAGTTTAGTAGTTTTTTTTGTTCTCTTCCATTTTGAAAATATTTAATATTACGTAGTAGTTACAATTAACTAAAATGTAGCATAGTTATCTTATATCTAATCGTAATAATTTAAATTCGATTTGCAGTCTTAATAACATATCTAAGCACCTATTGATCACCTAGTTCTAAATACAAAAAAAGCCGTTATATACACTAACAGCGTTACAAATAAACGCGGTATAAATTTAAACTTGGAAATAAACTGAGAATAAGCAAATATTAGTACAAAGCTTATACTCAGTTTATTCCTAAATTTAACTTTATACCGCGTTTATTTGTAGACTGTAATAGATCAGTTATAATACATGTTACTAAATAAAAAATCTCTTCATAACATGACGAGACTTAGGTACACTAGGTCTAAGTTACGTCAGGTTTTACGAGACGACATTATTTTTATATAGATTCTTTATGAAAGATAAGGACATAGTTTATATTTTATAGAAACGTAAAAACGTAACTTTATAATAAAGCCATAAGTACACCATTAGAGATAGCGATTTAAAACGAATGTAGATACACAGGCGTCGTCACAAAACAAAGTAGCCTTGGCCTAGGGAGAGCTAGCTACCATTTATAATGCCTTATTCGGGGTATTTATCTATTTTAAAATTTTAACATTCTCTAAAAAGGGACTGACACTTGACCCATTGACGCCTATGTGTGTTAACTGGGGTCCAATGAGATTTTTTATGTTAATTAAAAAAATATAAAGTGTACTTTCACTTGGTTGCAAAACTAATGCCCTAATTAAAGTCTTAATCCTTTATTTTAATAAGATTGTTTAAAATAATACTTAATTATTATTTCAAAATTCATTCATTAAAATGTGTACTTAAAAATTCCAGCAAACAGTTTTGCGTCTAGTATATTTCTTTAACATTTTTCCAGCCAATTGCCGTTTTTATACAATGATATTTTTTAAGCCAAATTTTCATACATTCCTCTAATTCAAATAGAGAAACTATGCGTTTATGGATTAAGATAAATTATAAATGCTCCCTAAACATTATATCTATATTGGATTATTACCAACCGTCACCCCGCTCTGTCCCCACGTGGGGACAGATGAGAATGAAAAGTTTCACCCGTTTATATTTTAGTCCCACTATCACCAATAAGATGACAGATGGAACTGTTAAGAAATAAAACAAGTTCATCAACATCGCAAATGGTGGGACGGATGAAACTTTTTATTCTCATCTGTCCCCACGCGGGGACATAGCAGAGTGACGGTTGGGATTAATCCTCTATTATAACGGAATAATAATATATTTACGGCAAAAGCTTATGATATTCCGCGCCGTGCTTGTTATTTCCGAGCACATAGAACGACTTTGGCTTTCCATTTCCTGAATAGTACTTCCTGAAAGATGTCTTCTTCGCTGGGACGTAGTATGCAAGCGCTTCTAAGGAATTAGGATGATGGTTTGATCCTTTAGGCCACGTTGGAGTGCTCTCTACATCGATAACATCATCATCGAACCTCGCCTGTGGTCTGGTTTTGGCAACTTTATGGAGAACTGGTAAATTCCAGTGGTAAACTCGAGCTGGTTTCCCATTACTGGTCATCTGTAGGGGTAGCGTCCTGGCGGCGGCTGGTGCAGGATCCACGTGGCTGTAGTAACTGGTGTTTGGTGGCAGTTTGATGACGTACATTCTGGAATCTCCAGTCCCGTGTCTCCTGCCTTGTTCTGCGAGACGCTTTCTGTGGTGTGCCGCTGGTATCCTCAGCTTCTTGAGGCCGAGGGAGCTGAGCAGCTCGTGTGTGGTTGGCTCATTCTTGTCGTTGGTCAAGTTGTTGTCGCTGGATTCGTGTGCTTTGGTAGTGCTCGCGGCTGCTACCGCAATCAGGAGTAACGTTAATGTTCTGAAAATAAAGAGAAAGAAATTTTATTCGGAAACAGAATTTTAAATCACTTATTATTAGACTGTAGATATATGATGATGGAAACAGTTTCCTTTGAAGCTAATCTTAGAGTGGTTCGACACCTTTGAGTACTATCGCACAATTATTGTGCGACTGTCGATTGTTTTGCAGCCAATTCAACTGAGTTGCACAACTAAAAATCGAGTAGTGTGCGCACCTCAATAAGCTTATAGGAATCAAGGAACGGCTAAATATTTGTGGGATAGTTTAGTCAAAGGTTGCATAAACTCTTAGAGTATCGGTTGGATTCTAACAAAATGTTAACTAATAGAATTATTTTTAACAATACCACTACGTGTGTGTTCATTTAAACATCCATTGCACTATAGAACCATATTTTTCTTATGACTTTACGGCTAATAAAATTATTACTGGCTGTAAAACGAGCAAAAGCGGTTTTATATACGCACAACAAAATGGCGGCAAAGGGGCCCTAACCGAACGAGACATAAAAGTTGATAGGTTCCTCCAGGGATGTCAATACATTGGCATACATCTTAGAAAGCGGCGGCAGTACGTTGACTTTAGACTAAGTGTGCATAGTTTGCCGATGGCACTCGAAAACTCAAACAAAATGGCCGCGAGGTGCAGTTGTTCGACTCGAGACGTTGTCGTGTTTTAAAAGCAATTAGCATAGACTATGAGGTTGCTGTTTGCATGCGTGGGACACAACGAGATTCATTAATTCTATTTAATTGTTGAGAAGGTAGAAAGTAGTGATTTTAAAACGAGTATCCGTTATTTTTTTATAAATGCTCTATTATATTATGCCAGTGTTTTACTAATACTTTTTTTTTACTGTAATTGACATGCCATTGTTCGCACAGCTCCAAGAAGTTTTTAGTGACAGTAATATTTATAAAATGAGTATGTGACAAAGCTACATTATGGTCCGTTGATTAGTTCATTATAATTTTGTTTGTTCTTTTAGTATCTGTGTTCTATCCTAGTATACTTTGCTCTAATATTAGAATCTGTGTTTGCGAACCTAGTTTGTCAACACCGGTCTCATGTATGTAACTTGTACGTTTGCATAATTTTTTACTTATAATGTGAGAAAATGTGTCGTGTATTTGAAACAGATTCCTCATTGTAATGCGCATTCAGGAATGGCGGTTATATGTCAAATGAATGAATGATGTATGAAAGAGGCGAGTGACGAATGTGGTTCTTCAGCTGTCATAACTTGGACACTTTCTTACTAAAATGATAAAGAGGAAAGATTTGTATTTTTGTATGTAATGAAATAACTCAAAAACTACTGTGCCGATTTTAAATTTAATACAATATTCTTAAACCGTTAGAAAGGTAATTTATCTGTGAGTAACATGGGCTATATTTTTGGTTAGTTCCAAAAAATAGCGACTTCGTCCGCGTGAATTTAAAAAATAATAACAAATATCTTAAATTTGAAATCAGCCCAGTAGTTTTTGAGTTATTTAATCCATACAAAAATATAAATCTATCCTCGATAGTACGCAGCAGAAAAAGCGCAATCGAATCCAAAACACGCTTCATAACGTCTACATTCTGACACCTGAGCTGAAGGTGGTCATTAGAATGCCAGTAAGACAAATACTATAAAAAGCCAGTTTTCTTCGCGGCGGCCGATTCATGAATGGTCACTGTTTACTCAACAACTTACTGTTTATTAAGTCCTTCTTAGAAACGCTTTCTTCCGACTCATGTTAAAATTAAACGTATGTTAGTCCACAACATTTGTCTCAAGATCCGGGTTAGATTTTAATTTAGATTTATATAAGAAAATAAAAAAAACATACAGACGACTTGTGTACCTCCTTCTTTTGGGAAGTCGATCAAAAATACTAGCTCTACGTTCACGTGAAATAAAATAAAATAATTAAATATATATAGCCTATGTTACTCACTGATAACGTATAGCTTTTTAATGGTGCGAGAAATCGTTCCAGTGGTTTTTGGATTATTCCAATACTTACAAAAATACAAATCTTTCCTTTTTATAATATCTGTATAGATATTGATAAAGCATCGTATTAAAAAATAAAATTAACTGCGTATACAGAATAAGTCTGTTTTTATGTAACTGTTAAAAATCTCAACATAAATCGTATATAAAAGCGGTAACAAAGTAATTGTAAAATTCTAGGTCATGTTCAATTAACTTGGTTTGCATTATAAATCATTGTCGTGGTTCGTGGGATAGCGTAGCGCTACTCTCATGAATTTAAATCATTGACCTCTATAATATGGACTAGTCGATATGGAAATGACATTTTTTGATTTCCGACTTAACTGACAGTTAATTCAATCCACACTATCAGCACCATCAATGAAGAAATTCAAAGATATGTGTGAAGTCAACTAACCCGCAATTGGCCAATGTGGTTGATTATGGCCTAGTCACCATAACTTAGAATAGGCTCAGAGCCCCTTAGTGGGGACGTATAGTGAGCTGGTGATAATGATGACGCTATCAGCGACATAATGGAGAAAATCAAATATTTACAATATACTATGGGTTATATATAGCTTGTCCTATATAGGTCAATTCATAATTTCATGCGAATTTGCGTCGTTATTTATATTTTTAATACTTAAAGTAGTAAAGGGATTTTCCAGCCAGTTTTATTTTTAACTAGCTGTTGACCGCGACTTCATACACGCAATATTAAGATAAAATACACGTCTATGTCAGCTACCCTTCACTGAAAGTCCGGTCTAAATCGGTCCAGCCGTTTCGGAGATTACCCGGAACAAACGCGGCTTGCGGGCAGACAGACAGGCAGACAAAAAAAAAATTGATTTTCGTCATCAGTAACGCGAATACATCTTCACGAAATCTGGAATTTTTCTTTTGATATTACAAAAAGACACTTCAATTTTATTACTTGTATAGAGATAGTTTTAAAAGACTATATCTCGTAGGTAAATTGACAACAAAAATACAATAAATCATGTCTCATGACCCACCCATAAGCATACAAACTCGTTTCACCGGGATGTTCCTGGGTCACGTTTGCCGTACCACATTTGGTAAGTCCGTGATAGTGCGCGCTCTACTTGCAACCTATGTCTGTAGAATGTGGCTGCAGCCTTATAACAATTACAAATTACGTTAAGAAAAAAGTTAAATCGTACTCTGACTGAGCTTCTACTGTCGGTCATCTATAACTCAATGTCCAGCAGATAAATTTTATCTGTCACTTACGATGCACCCGTTACTGTTGATTTTTTTAAATAAAAAGTGCTTATAAACTTATTCAATATATTATTTCTATTTATATAAATACAGAGAAGCAGTATATGAACCGTTTAAAGCGTAATTTTAGCCCTTTTCCACTCTTTTTCGCACAAATAAAGAATGGGGGAATGTAATTTTTCTGTGCGTCCCTCTGATTAAAGGTCTATTGTTAGTGGTCGCTCTGCTATTTTGGCGATTTCAAATTCAATGGCAGTTTCCCCACCCATAGAACTAAAACATGGGCAAGCGACACCTTGACCAATATGCGTTGTATGTACTGTAGTTATTCTTTAAATAGAACCTTAACTGAATAACAAATTACTTAGCTACTATTTTTAATTAAGTTTTCATAAAAATACATCGAGATATTAATGGATACATTCTGATACAATCAAAGTTAATAAACTGGTATCTACGTATCCGTTGCCTGTAAAAATATAAAAGAATCCTGTCACACTGGATTTATCGACTCCCAGATACCTACGAGTATTTAAATTGTTGTTATCTGGTATTTTAATCGCTAGTTAATTTATAGATTTACAAGCTGTTGCCCGCGACTTCGTCCGCGTGGTATTAGTAAAGATACGAACTATAGAAATAAAAATCTACGTATCCCTCGAGAACCGGACATTTCTCGAGGATGAACCCTAATCCCATGTGTACGCCAGACTTTGTTTTATATCTGTACCAAATTTCAATAAGATATGTTAAACCGTTGTAGAATGATCGAGTAAACATTAAAAAAACTAAATTAATAAATCCCACGGCAACCGTAACTATTCCCGGGATAAAAAGCCTATGTGTTCTTCCAGACTATGCTGTACAAAATACTTGTACAAAATTTCATGGAGATCCTTTCAGCCGTTTAGGCTACAAATGCTAAGAAACGTGCATCCATCCATCATAACTTTCGCATTTATAATATTTATGATTTATTGCAAGTCGTTATTATACAAGAATCGATGTGTCAAACCCTCGTATTACTGGCATAAGTGTTATGTTGCTAATCTACTCAGTGTAATGTGGCACAAGGTGTGTCATGAATTTGTAGGTTTTAAGCTCTGTTTACACTACGACAGTGTGGGTGGACCCTCACCGGTGACCGCTTGCCCTCGACCTCGGGTCGCGGTCAACGCACTGCATCGCTATGTCGCATGTTTGCTCCAATACGTGACGTTTTTGCGAACTTTGAAACTGTAGGTTAACAATGCTGAAGTACCTTTACAAAATCATTTTTCTCTATCTTTCTCATTTAAAAAACAGAGATAACAATAACAAGATCATAGCAGGAGTCGTGCTACTTCTATTTCTATTGTAAAACGTATTTATTTACCATGAAACCGTTATAATTTTCTTTTAAAACAATAATGATTTTATTAATTTAGTAGCAAGATACGAGTCATAATTTACGTAACAGATAAAAAATATTGCTCTAGTCAAAGACAAAATCTAACTTTTTATCGATTGTCATCGTAAAAAGTGTAAATACGCAACATAATGCTCTATGCTTCAGCACAAGTACTATTCTGAAGTTAGTGTAAACAGTGTTTCATTGTTACAGCCTGGCAATTAATTCGTGCCGCCTTCTTCCTGCAAACGCTATCTATACTCAACTATAAGTTTTGCTCTATTTTTAAATTTTGCCTTTAATATAATAGTAATAACAATTTTATATAATACATTAAAATTCGTGTGCTAATCTGTGCAAATCTAACTG